ATATATATATATATATATATATATATATATAAATCCTTTTATTTTACAATCAAGGAAACACTGAGAAATAAAATGACTCAGCCAAGGTCCTAGTAAGTTAATGGCAAAGCCAAAAGCAGAATTCATATAACTCAATCCTCAGCCCTGTGTGCATTCTATGGTACCACAATCCTTGCTAGGCATTAGGCATGTTCCTTCTACTTCCTCTACCATCCTACAGTTAATCTTTAAACAACAGCATCTATACTGGTAGAAGTGGACAAGGTATTTTTACCTCTCAAGCTATTTCTATTTCTTAACATTTGAAGCATCTTGCATGCATCCATTTAATCCTTTTTTTGGAAGGGGGAGGGAGAGAGAGAGAGAGCGAGAGCGAGTGAGCGAGCACAAGCAGAGGGAGCAGTAGGCAGAGGGAGAGGGAGAAGCAGACTCCCCGCTGAGCAGGGAGCCTGATGCAGGACTTGATCCCAGGATCCTGGGATTATGATCTGAGCTGAAGGCAGACGTTTACCCGACTGAGCCACCCAGGCCCCCCCGCATTTAATCCTCTTAATATTCCTGTTAGGTATGTACAATTATTATCCTCATTTTTACAAGGGGAAACTGAGTCACAGAAAGTCACAATGACTAAAGGTGACCGGCACACAGTCTCTCAGATAATAGAACCAGTCTGACTCCAAAGCACATTCTTAATTCTATGGCCCCTGGAAGCACATGGCTAATTTAAGTCATGGCAACTCTAAATTATCTTACTTGGGCTAAAAGAGCGCTCCCGAATCCAAAAGGTAAAAAAAAGTTTATAACCACAAAGGAAAAACCAGTGAGGTTCAACTTAAAAAGTTCACTCATCCTAGGGCAGGTTAGAATGGTAATATCAAGAACATCAGATGCCTATGTATCCACCAATAAGAGGAAAATATGTCCTTCATCTTGGGTGAGTCCAGTGAATGTGTATTTATACTCACTAGAAGGCCCAGTAGCTGCATTTTAGAGAAGAAAAGATCCTTTACCTGAAATACCCCATGTGGAATTGAGTTTTATTATCTCCAATAATAATGGTCTGGAACTCAGGAGGATCATAGTAAAATCTCCAGTGAAGGTTAAAATTCAGGCTTGCTGATTTTTTCTTCATTTTATGTTTTCCGGCAAGGATATCATAAGGACCCACTAATCGAAGTCCAAGGGTTGTGAAAAGTGCATCTATAAATTAAGTAAGTTTATTTAGACAGTAACTTTCTGAAGGCAGATAGGAAATAGTATCTTTTATTTATAAACTATTTCTAACCAATTTTCTTAAAAAAAAAAAGAGCTTCCAAACTAAAAGGGCTTCAGTTACATTTGAAGACATTAGTTATAAATACTCAATGAAAAATCAGAGCAATGAAAATGTGGCACTTATATTTAAGATTTTTCTATTAAATTTATCACTGATTACATTTCAAACATACTGCTATTTCTTATTTTGGCCAAAGTAAGACTGTTTTGTATTCTCATGGGCACATTAGAGCTTCGAACACTTACCTTGTCTCATTACTATGTTGTTGTTAGCCTCAAATATTTGTAGCACACCCATATTAAGGGAGAGACAAGATAGACAGTAAGTGAATGTGCATTAAGTAGGGTAAACAGTTTATTTAATAAAAAATGTATTTAATGAAAACATTCCTTTCCCTTCCCTCTACCTCACCTAACCATCACTCTCAATTCCCTTGCCTCTGGCCAACCCTAATCCTAGATGATTCTATCTTCTTTCTCCCTCCACAGATCACAAAAGGAGATTGCTAAATAAACCAGAGTCATGGAATGTAAGCTTCAAACGTTTGTGTTCAAAATATGCTTTTATAACATCAGATGGGTCCTTGTTGCTTCTTTGAGAGAGAATAAGCACTCCAGGCAGGATCTGGATATGTAAAGAGGTGGGGATGGAGAGAGGAAGAAAATTCTTCGAAGAGGCAACATCATGAATAAAGGCCTAGAAAACAGTTTATTTAGAGGGGGGAAGAATAGGTCAGCTTTGCTGGAGCTTAGGATAGCATACACCAATTTTTAAAGCAACAGAAAAAACTAAAGTCACCCATCTCATTAGCCTACAGGTAACAAAGTTAATAGTCTGGTATACAATAACAATGTTCTCCTCCCTGTATGAATATATATAAATATAGAGATATTTTAAAGGAAGTGATGCTGTTTTGTAATTTTTTTTGTTTTCCATTGTCTTCACTTAAATTTTCCGAATATTTTTCCATGCCATTAAATATTTTCTCATAATTTCTAATAGCTGCATGATAGTTCAATGATAGACATTTACTGCTTCTAATTTTTTTACTCTCCTAAACAATGCTTCAGTGAACATCTTTACTAATACATGGTTTTTTTGTTTGTTTTTGTTTTAAGTAGGCTCCACACCCAGCGTGGGGCCAATGTGGGGCCTGAACTCACAACCCTGAGATCAAGACCTGAGCCAAAATCAAGAGTTGGATGCTTAACCAACTGAGCCACCCAGGTGCCCCTTTGCTAATGCAGTCACGAATATTTTTAGACAAGTTGCTGCACAGTTTAAGTGTTTTGCTATTATGCCAAAATTCATTGTTATCTACTAATCCACATTTCCATCAGTAGTATATGGGAGTACTTCTCTCCCATCTGTGAAAACATGTGAAAAGTAACTTTGTCACAACCATTATCAGTTCTTTGTGCACCCTCTCAAAGACAGTATAAGCACACAGAAAGTACATAAGAATGTGTGTCGTTGACTTTAAAAAAAAACACAAATGGTAGCATACTCTATACACATTTTCTTTCTCACTTGAAATATTTCAGGCACAATATTTTATTATTATCTAAAATCTACCTTGTTCCTTTAAAACAATGAATATCCACTGATAGATGTATTAGTGATGGGCTTTAGGCCATTTCCCATTTTTGTTTCAATAAATATCACTGAACATAATTTTTAGTTCATCTAATCCCTAAGTTCCTAGAAGAACTGCTAAGTCATACTAAAACTCCTGCCACATATCAAAGCACTTGTTTTCTTTCAAGCCCTCATCAAAGTACATTTTGAAATTATTTACCTTTGCCAGTATAACAGGTGATAGTCACATATTATTATAGCATTATTTTATATTTCTCTTAGAAACATCTTTGATAAAGTTCCTTTTCTGTGAACTGTTAAGATCCTTGGTCCAGTTTCCTACTGTCTTTTCCATTGGTAGAAGCAGAAGAATGATTCTGGAGCAACTCACCAGCTGGCTTTTCAGGATCAAGCTCTTCACAGAACTTCCAGAAGTGATAGAAATCTTCAGGCACAGAAAGCTTATAATGATTTTCTACTTCTTTTCGAAGGTCACTGGAGACATCAGCTTCACAGGATTTACTCTTTTTCACATCAACTGTTTTTTCACACTGAAAATCAGCATACAAAACTTTGTTTCTCCAAAAGTAACACTATTGCTCATTTTTGTTCACTCAACTCTGAGAAACATGTTTTCCTTAAAACTCTACAAATGGTATTTCTGAAAAAATCAGGATTCTTTTGGGCAAAGAAAAAAGGAAAACAGTGTAATACAGAGCGGTCAAGAAGGATGCACACAGCAAGTCTTTAAATATATTTCTCTAAGATAATGGAATACGAAAATAAAAAACAAGTATAAAAGAAAAGGTGAAGAGCAGGAAGAATAAGGAATAGGAAGGTTTTGTCTTCTTTGGGTAAATAGGTCATCATGCTTTTTTTGTTTAAATAGATTCACCAGAAGCCAACTGTCAGAAATAACTGGATAAAAGGGGATTTATCAGCTAAAACAATTATTTAAGAAAAGGCCCTTTAATGTCAGGACTAGGTTATTAAACTCAATCTCTAATATCTCTGCAATATGTTCACTGCGTAAGTATGCTAGGTTTTATAATGCCTATTTGATAAATTTCTGTAAAGATAAAATGCTGATGGGTGCCTGGGTGGCTCAGTCGGTTAAGCGTCTGCCTTTGGCTCGGGTCATGATCCCATCCCAGGATCCAGTCCCACGTCAGGCTCCCTGCTCAGCAGGGGGGTCTGCTTCTCCCTTTCCCTCTCCTCCTTCTCTCTCTCTCTTAAATAAATAAAATCTTAAAAAAAAAGATAAAATTCTGAATTAGAGGTTACATATCTTTAGTTTTGTAAGTAGCGATCAGTTTTTTCTTTCTAGGAACCTAGATCCTTTCTTTTTGGATTTTCTTCCCTTTTATTCTTCCTTTCCACCTGTATCAGTGCTTCTCAATCAGGAGTGATTTTGTCTCCCAGGGGACACATGTAGTAATGTCAGAACTTTTTAGCTCTCACAAATTTAGGAGAGGGTGCTGACATTTAGTGGAGTAGAGAGAGGCCAGGGATGCTGCTAAGCATTCTGCAATGCACAGGTTAGCTCCCTTAACGAACACTTAATCGGGCTCAAAATGTCTATAGTGTGAGGTTGAAAAATTCTAGATGTTTCCCATATTTATATTCTTCCATTCTCCCAGCAGGCTCAAGTTTATTGATGTTACTTTATGTATCAGAATCTACACAATGTATTTATGAATTAGATGACATACAAGAATGATCTTGATAACGGTTTCTAAGAGCAGAGAAGAGAACAAATGAAAATGCCTATTGACAGAAGGATACAAAGTTATAGGATTTCAAGCAATTGAATATTCCACTTAGTGAAAAGGAAATATAGCCACACACAACACTATAGATCAGTCTTAATAATATAATGTTGAATGAAGGAAAAAAGTCCTTGAAGTTTATATGTAGCACGATAGCCTTCTTAAATTCAAAAACAACAAATAAATACTGTTTGTGATAAAGCTATAAAAAGAAGGCAAGGGAAACAAGGGTGAGGATGGTAGCTACATAAACGGGGGTGACATTAAGTCAGGCAAAAAAAGATAGGGGAGGAACACATGTAGAGCTATTGTCAGGGTTTCAGTTCTGGGGTAGGGCAATGGGTTCACAGGTGTTTTTCATATTATTAAATAAGGTAAAAGAGGACCATGCATTGACCCGTAACAGTTTATTACGCCAAGGATTATAATGTGTCTGAGGTCATAAAAAAATTAAATTGAACAAAAAGGCTGCTAAAATATGGATGTTGATAATAAGTAACAGTAAAAACTCTAAGTAATAATACTAAATAATAGTTATCACACATTTACCATGTGCCAGGTCACTGTTCTAAGCACTTTCTGTGAATTAACTCATAACTCCCTATGAGCTACATACTTTATCCACATTTTACAGATGAGAAAACTGAAGTAACTTTCCTTAGGTCTAGAAAGTGGAGGAGCGGTTAAACCCCGGTGGGCCGGCTCCAAAGCACAGATTCATCCACTTCATGCTGCTTCTCCAGTTACATACAGAACAGTAGGAACAGATCAAGTGCTGACCTATCCTCCCCTATGTTTTTACAGCAGTCTTTGGTTAGGTTTTCAGACTGGTTCAAACTTAGGATGTTAGAAAGAAAAGCCTTACTCTACCCTGCTGAAAGGCAGTTTTTCCTAATGACTCTTGACCCTTCTGCTTTCCAGCTGTCACCTTGGGTAAGTTACTTAACCTGTGCCTTATTTTCTCAACTACAAAAAGGACATGTAGTACTTGTATCACAGGGTTGTTAGGAAGAATAGTTGTTTGTAAAAACACACAGAATAGTCGTAGCACATTAATATTTAAATGGTAGCTTTAGCTATCTATGGCCTCTATAGACTTATTTTCATCTTCGATATTTTATTTCTAATACTATCACTCAAAGCAGTTTATAGCACCTTCAATGGGAAATAAAAGATTTTTTTCAGCTTTGTCTTAACTCACACATTATTTCAGCATCCTCAAATCCCCAATAACTAGAATTTAGGGCAGCTGTCTCCTTCATAGGCTACACTCATCCTTTATTCTTTACCTAGAAAGCATGTCCCAATATAAGCAATGTCCAGAACAGGGCCCTTTAACAGTTAAACTCTCTGACACTGTGACACTGTCCTGCTCTATCCAGTTTATAATACAGACGGAGTAATTTCGAAAACTGTCCTTATCACAATGACACTTCTCTCCTACCTGACTGTCCTAATTGCCACAGTAGTTACACAACTTCTGAAATCGTATAAAAGTATGAGAACGTGCACATACTTTATGCCCCCCTCCCCCTCATTAGTGCCTTTATGATCAGGTCCTTCTTTCCCATCTCCGACTCCAGCCAAGCCCAATCCCGCCGTATCCAAACATCCTCTATACTTATTTCTATTTCTTATCCCTTATGTCTCCTTTCTGCCTTCAAGAGCCATGTCCAACTTGAATTGTCCTAAAAGATTTCTTTAGCAAACCCCTGGGACTTAGATCCTCCTTCAGTGTTGCCACGGCACTTTTGACACAACAACGTTACAATGCCGAACAAAAAAATTTGCAGTAAAATATATATTCACTGTGCCCTGCTTCCGCAGGCTGGGGGCTGTACGTGGGGCAGGGGCGGCACAATGCATCTTGAACCGCGGCGCCCGGCACAGTGCCTGGCGTATAATCGGTTTCCAATCAATTTGTTGCTGGTTGAACGAATGAACCATTGGTTGCCTTAATCGGTTTCCCCAGGAACCGCACCGGGAGGAGAGCAGAAGATGCAAAGGCGCTAGTTCTTTGCTCCAAACCTCAGCAGAGCGGGAAACAGCGGCCCTGGCTCAGACCGCCGTTCCGGGGCACACAGCAGCCACTCAGTGATTACTGGATAAATGCAACGTGCTGCCCCTTGGTGCCTTATCACCCAAAGCGCCTTGCGGATCCCACACATCCTCTGTAGCAGTACCTGCTGCCCCTCCCCGCCGGGCCTGCGCTTCCCGCCACCGCCGGCCATTCTGCAGCTGCCGTGCAGCAGAATCCCGCGTCCCGCCGTTGCTTCCGAGAGCCGCCGACTGCTTCCGGTTCAAGAGACTCCAATCTGAATCCCTGCGCAGCCGCGGCCGCGCCAGTAACGGGGAAAGGCTTCGCCTGTTTCCTGCCCCGCAAGGTCCGAGGCGGGGCCGGCGAAGCTCCGCCTACTCGCGCGCAGGGCGTGGGGGCGCTGCAGTTGGCACGCCGCCTCCCCGCCTCCCGGTGCAGGTTATCGCCGGGTTGCTCCTGAGACCCTAGAGTCCCGAATTTGGATTCGTTAAGGTGGTCCGGACGTCCTTCTCAGGTGTTTACTAGTGGCAACACTGGGCCTCACCCAAACCCTCGTTTTTCCTTGATTTGTGTATATTTAAAAGATTAATCCTTATATTCCTCTTTTCCATCTCTCCCTCCTCCACTATGCTATTATTGCCTGACACTAATTCATCCTTAATTATCTCTCAGAAGGAAATCAGTTTCTCTCATTGTTTCTTTGTAAATCTTGTTACAATTTGGATCGTGTTTTCTACACCAGAACCATCAACATCAGCATTCTGACGGGAGCTTGTTAAAAATTCGGAATCTCGGGCTCTAGCCAGACTTACTGATTCAGAAACTGCATTTTAGCAAGATCTCCCATTGATTCCTATGCACATCAAAGTTCCAGAGGCACTGCATTCAAATAATCTCCTGCGGTTTCCTTCACTGTCATTCTGGAAAGTGCACCACTTCATTCCTGAGAAGATCCTCTATTTCCTGAATCTGTATCTTCCCTTTACTTGCTTTTATACTACCCTTTTGTGGAACATAATCCCCCAAGACTTTCTTGAGGAATGTTGCAGGCAGGTGCCTTACCCTCCCGCCTTCATTAGAACTCGCATGTCTGTCTTTATTCTGACAATATAGAATTCTCCGTTGAAAATAATTTTTAGTCGGAATATTAGAGGGTTTGCTTCACGGTGTTTTAGCTTCCAGTATTGCCACTGAGAAATCCTACCTCATGATTCTGTTCTTTATGGGTGACTGACATTCTTTCTTCTTCTTTCTTTCCTTCCTTCCTTCCTTCCCTTCCTTCCCTTCCTTCCCTTCCTTCCCTTTGTTTTTTAAACAACACAAATTTATTGTCTTACAATTCTGGAGGCCAGAGTACAAAATCAGTCACACTGGGCTAAAGTCAAGGAATAGGGAGACATTTACCTACTTCGTCCTCGGGTGACTAATTTCTTTATGTGTAACCTGTTTCTGTTTTGTTGTGTCTCAAGAAGTTTTAGGTCTTTCTCTTTATTCGCAGTGTTCTCAGACACAGTCATGTATCTTGGTTATGGGTCTTTTCTCATTTTTGTTGAGCTGGTGGTTACAGGTTGGCTGTTTTTCATCTTGAAACACATGTCTTTCAGTTCTGCAAGTTTTTCTGGTATTATTTACTTAATAATTTTCTTTCTTCTATTTTATGTTCTTCCGTTTTGGAGTTTTTGTTGGTATTATTTAGTTGCTAATTTCCTCTTTCTTTCCCCTCCCTCACTGTATCTCTTCTTTTTTGGAAATTCGTTATTCAGACGTTTGATCTTGAATGATGTTTTTTCTTATTCTGTTTTCTATCTCTTTTGTCTTCCTGTTCCACTTTTCTGGATGATTTTCTCAATTTAATTAGACAAATGTTATATCAAATTATTATTTTTTTATTATATAGGCATGCCTTGGAAATACTTTGGGTTTGGTTCCAGACCATGGCAATAAAGCAAATATGGCAATAAAGTGAGTCAAATGAATTTTTTGGTTTTCTAGTGTATATAGAGTTATGTTTACACTGTACTGTAGTCTATTAAATATGCTATAGCATTATGTCAAAAAATGTACATCTCTTAATTTAAAGATAATTTATTACTAAAAAATGCTATTTATCATCTGAACTTCGAGTGGAATCTTTTCGCTGGTGGAGGGTCTTTCCTTGATGTTGATGGCTGCTGACTGATCAGGGTGGTAGTTACTGAAGGTTCAGGTAGTTGTGGCAATTTCTTAAATAAGACAACAGTGAAGTTTGCCACATCAATACATTGCTGAGTGAACTGAGGAGACCTCTGGGTTCTGAGGTCTCTGCTCAGCCCCTGCCCAGGATGTTGCTGGAGGCTCCTGGTCTCATCACAAGAAAAGAATTCAAAGAGGGACCAGACATGTTGGTTGAGTGGTGCATGTGAAGAGTTTATTAAAGAGAGAGTACACTCTCAAGAAGTGAGGGTGGGGTTTGGTCTCTATCCTTCATTGACAGTTGTTGACTAGGGGGTGGAATATTTATTATTTGGGGAGGGGATTTTTTGGGGAGTAGGGTTTCATACCTTTTCTCCTTTGCTTGGTCAGGGTCTCTGGCCTTCTTTATCTTGGTCCTGTCTGGTTTGATCTGGCTTCTTGTGGCTTTGTTTGTGGAATGCTACCAGGATGGGTTTCTAACTTTTCTGATAATGGGCCTTGACTTACCCTTTGCTGGCCTCCAGGCATCCTGGTAAAGCCTAACTGACTGCCTACTCTAACATTTCCCCGAAGGACTCTGGGCCCTTAAAATCTCTTAAGGGAAAATGGGTGACAGCCCTTCTGTAACTACTTCATGCTGGTATAGGACATTGATCCTGACTGAGGGCTCCAGAAGTCCTTGCTATCCAAGTTTTAGGAAAACTGGATGGACAGTGGGGAGTAGAAGGAAGCTGTGGATTGTTCCAGGGGGTGTTGGCTGGTTTCATCTTCATGGGAGATGGGTTTGGAATCCCTGGCACATCATCATCTAGAGATGAAGTTGTTGGAGTCTGGAAGAGACCAATATGACAAGAAAGTTAAACAAACAAGGTCCAAAAAGTACAAGTAGCAGTATAACCACTAGTGGACCTAAAAGGGTCAAGAACCAGGTTATAGATGGAAGCACCTCACATATAGCATTCTAAATATCATTCATGGTATCAGCCCCTTTGGTCATTTGATGGAACCATTTGGCTTGGTCATATAATTTTTGGATATTTTCTTCTACCTGTCCAGTGCTGTTGATATAAGTGCCACATGTTCTGTTAATGATAGCACATACTCTACCTTATTCAGCCAATAAGTAATCCAAAGCCAGCCTGTTGTCCATAACGACATTGGCCAAAGATTGGTGTGGCTTGGAGAGATCTGAGAAAGTGGATGCGGTGGTAGAAGGTAGTTTATCTAATACTGCTGTCAGATTTCACAGGGTGATCACATGATGTGCAAATCCCCCCCAAGGGGCTGGCACCAAGGGTACCTACTATTCCAGCAAATACAAGGCCTATTGCCCTTCAAGCTCTAGTGTGGGGTTGGGTAGAATTATATATGCAGACTCCTGGGGGAACCACATACCCCAGGGTGTAACTGCCCTGATGTTTGAGGTTATCAGTGCAAAGAAATCCTGTAGCCATACCAATGGCGTAAAGATTGATTCCTGTAGGGGGCGCCTGGGTGGCTCAGCTGGTTAAGCGTCTGACTTTGGCTCTGGTTGTGATATAAAGGTCCTGGGGTCAGGCTCTGTTCTTGGCGGGGAGCCTGCTTCATCCTCTCCCTTTGCCCCAAGCCCTCTTTGTGCTCTCTCTGTCTCTCTCTCAAATAAATAAATAAATAAATAAATAAATAAATAAATAAATAAAATCTTAAAAAAAAATGATTGGTTCCTGTAGGTTGTGAGGAGATAATTGGGAAGGGCACATAAGGTTATGGGATAACTCACTGTTTCCAGTTTCTGGAGCTGCTGGGCCCACCTGAAAGAGTTCTTGCGTGTGCAATTGGTGTGTAGAGGTCCTCCTTTTATTCTGGGAAACTTATGAGCATAGTTGAGGTGGGTAAAATTAGAGTGATCATCAATGTGCAGTGGTGTCCCCCTGGGCCGTGATCCAAAACATGGATATAATATTGGGGTTTTTTGTAGGTAGCTGGATCTGGCACAAACCCAATGGGTGACATCACAATCTGCATTCTTTTTCTTTCTTTTTTTTTTAAGGTTTTATTTGTCAGAGAGCACACAAGCGGGGGAGTGGCAGGCAGAGGGAGAAGCAGGCTCCCTGCTGAGCAGGGAGCCCAATGTGGGGCTTGATCCCAGTACCCTGAGATCATGAACTGAGCTGAAGCAGACGCATAACTGACTGAGCCACCCAGGTGTCCCTATTTTTATTTTCTAAGCAAGCATACCACATTTTGTACTTAGCTCATTGTACTGAGACATTGGAAAATTGTTTGATGGTCCAAGAATTTTTACTCTGTGAGAAGGTGCCGTTATTTGGCAGCTGACCCATCTTTTGGTTTGTCTTTGGTGTTATTTGGCAGCATAGACTCAGAACTTAAGTAAAAATTAATTCCTGAGATGTCTCAGGTGGTGGGATGGATTAAGTCTACACATGTCCAATTTGGGCCAACAAGCATACCTTCTAGGGCAGAGGAACTAGGTCAGTATAGTTTTTTTGGAGGAGAGTTATACTGAGAGAATGCATGGGATAAAACAAGGGTAAGAAGGATCTTTTTGAGGCTGTAAATGACAGATCCAACAGCTGGAAAGGTTATTCCCCTGGGAGATTATGTTGGAAAGACTTACGAGAAAATTTTCCCTCTACCCCTGTAGACCTGCACAAGTTAGAGCAGTGATGAGAACAAGATGAAAAGGTGATTTTTAGGATCATGTCTGAGAATTAACAAGAAAATCAATCGAAAGGTCCAAGTAGGCAAAGGTTTGCAAGGAGAAGTAGTATAAAAAAAATCCAGACGATAGCTAACAATACAAAACAGTTATTCATAGTAAGATGTCAACCAGTCATCTTTTTGAAGATATATGTAGATCTTCCACAGGCTTATAGGAATGGGTTGGAATGTCTTTAGTCTTTTGTTGTAGGGAGAATGGAGCCACTGGTTTTATTCTAGACAAATTAATCCAGCTAGTTATGCCTTGAAGCTTAATTGCCATTGGGGTGCTAAGAGGAACCTGGTAAAGTCCCTTCCATTTGGGGTCTAATAGATCTGAAAGTGAACCCTCCTGCCAGGTTTTTAAAAAAACCATGTCCTGG